CACTGTGTGTGTGTGTGTGTGTGTGTGTGTGTGTGTGTGTGTGTGTGTGTGTGTGTGTGAGATCATGCTTGCATGCATTGTTACAATGTGACAAATGAGAAGAAGAGGAGGAGATTGTAATAATTGTATATTATATTGTTGGAAGTGCAACAGATGGCAGAGTGATAGTGCTGGAGTGGTGACATAGATCATTTGGGAAATAATTTGTATCAATGCATAAATGTCGTGCGTCACGAGATATTCGAAATGGTCAGATCTGATAATTGTGTAGGGTTATTTAATACCTCTTCTTTTGAGCATGTTGAATTATACGTAATTTATTTTGTTTTTGTTCTTAATCTTGGGGTTTGATTTTAAATATATTGATTTCATATCTTTCACTGTATTTCAAGGGATGTTATCTAATACTTGAAGCGTATAGCTCGTCATTATTGACTTGAATATATAATAAATTAATATGATGGGACGCATTCAAGTTCTGATGTCTATTACATTCTGCTAAAACTTTTGTTCAACAATTTGCCCTTTAGAAATGCAGGTGTTATATTTCCACCAAAAAAGCCCCCCTCAGAAAAAAAAAAGAAAAATAACCTCCTTCAAGTGTGTATGGTACTGAGGAAGTATATTTCTTTGTATTTCACCCGATCCCTACGCCCTGAGGTCATTTTGTACCCCTGGGGTTGTATTCTTCACATTTTAGAACACTTCTAGTACGAAGATCTTTTTGAGACTTTCAGTATTTCTCAAAAAATTATTTTGACAGACTGCTAGGCAAAGCGTACAGATTGGATTGACGAGTAAATTTCCTCTTTGGAAAGTGGTGGCACAGAGTTCCCCACGTCGTACGGATACGATAGTAAAACACGACGTACGGATAGAGTTAACATGTGTATACAAAACAGATACAAAGAAAAATGAAAGTAGAATCAGAAAGACAGCGAAAGTGAGACATGAACTCCTGTGAATTATGAGAGTGGATACCTGAACATGACATTGAGATGAACTCCTGTGAATTATGAGAGAGGATACCTGAACCTGACATTGAGATGCTTGAAACGTAAGGGGACAAGGCTCTGTTCTGTAAACTTCCCCGACTAGATGACTCAAGTGCTGGAGCAGAAAATGATTGCCGCAGACAGCAGGGCAACGTTGAAGAGGGAAAAAAAGATACACAGAAATGGCAAACTTCTGTCGTTTATTATCAATAGTTAAGTACGACTTAAGTGGCATTTTATTTTGATCTTTCTTCCCAAACACTTGAACGACTTAGAAATTACTCATGTATGTCGATTATCATTTTTTCAGCGTTTTGGAATTTAAGTTTAACCCTTTTTCTGAAAAATGACGTCTATTTCGTAATATAAACATATTTTGTACTGAATTTCGTTATTATATTTCGGTTCATAATTATTTGGAATATCGTGTTATTTTGAAATGTTGGGGTGTGATTCAGATTGAATCTACGTGATGTTGTTACAAGTGGTGAGATCCTATTGCCTTCTGATCTTGTGAATCAAATGTGGCACAACGCAGCAGAATCGGGCGCTCGTCAATTTTTGGACATTTGGAGTTATTTTATCTTTTTTAAGCTTGTTAGTTTGTTTTGGTCTCGTTGAAAAATATCCTCATATTATCGGGAATAGAAGTCGAGATTTGCGATTGAAGGAGGTGAGGGTCTTCTGGTTTCAGAGGTAGAATTAGCGAGAAAATACCCGCCAAAGTCTGGTGACTTCCGAAGCTTGACAGTCCTTAGAAACTGCAAATTAACATTTTTGTGCCTTAAACTTAAATTCAAATCAACATTATTCAGTAAAATCCACACGTAAATGTGTTTTTAAACTGAACCTTTAAGGTGTTGAGTGAAAAAACAATTTATAAAAATTGCCAAGTGTACAGAAAAATGCCAGTTTCTTCAATTTCATTAATTTGACGAGCGCCTGATTTCACCACGATGCCTCCCAAATCATTCGGCCCAGTTTGTGCAGGATTCCTGATCCTACTGCTGCGGTCTACCTTCGCTGATACCGTCCTTTTCTATGTCTGATTGCTCATGAAATAAACCCTGTACAGTACAGTGTATGTATGGAGTTTGCCTGGAATTTTTCATCATCGATAGACTAATGGTTTGTTATGCTCAAAGTCATCTTCATCATCATGGTCGTCATCGTCATCACCATCATCATCACCATCATCATCATCACCATCACCATCATCATCATCATCATCGTCATCATCATCATCATCATCATCATCATCATCATCATTGTAAACAGAGAATAAAAAAGGTTGACACATGGTAGGATTTCCTAAATAATATATTATAGAATACCAGTATGTTCAACGTTTTGCCTTATATGGCTTCATCAGAAACATTTAAAAAAAAGTCAAATCGTTATCATCCTCATCATCATCTTCATCACCATCATGGTCTTTATCGTCATTACCACAACCACCACCATCATCGTCATCATCATCATCATCATCATCATCATCATGGTCTTTATCATCATCATCATCATCATCATCATCATCACCACGAGAGGCGCCC